AACCACGAAATTTACAGTGGATGCAAAATGATGACTAGTCAGAAAGGGCTGGTTGAATAGTAGGTGTGAGTGTGGAAAGACTAGAGTTCCTTGCAATAGGAGAGAAATAGTTATGCTGGGAATGAGCATAGAGTGGGTTAGAGGAGGAAGGTAAGTAATGGGGAAGATGTGATGTAAGAGAAGAAACTCTAAGATATCAGAGAAAAGTATGCCTTGATGCTGTCCAGGATATGACCATCGTGATTTATGAATTTTACAAAGCACTAACCATAAAATCATAGAGGCTTGATAAATATTTGGGCAGCAAATATAATTGAGATCTTTTGTGACTTGATAATTCTATGATTTAAACCAAATGGGTTTGAAACTGAAGGCATGGGTAATTTCTAAGATCACTTCTTACCTAAGTTTAGATGATCCAGTGAATTAAAGTAGAGATCACTGACAACAGTCCTCCCAGAACTTCTCTGGGGCAGTCCTCATTGTTCCCTAAAACAGGAAACAAATCCTAGACGGAAGTAGTGGATTAATCCAAAAATATTACAGGAGTTAAGAGCACATCTTTTGAAATTCTGTAAAATGGAGGTCATAATAGCTACCTCACAGATTTTATTGCGTAGATAAAATAAGATTACATGCCTAAAATGGCTCAGCAGAGCTATCAAGCCTGAAAAGACGTGGAGGAAGTTTACATGTTGATTGAAAGAAGCCAGTCTGAAAAGGCTACACACATGCTATACGGTTCCAATTATATGACATTCTGATTTTTAAAAGCCAAAGCTATAGAGATGTAAGAAGATCACGGATTGGGGTAATGAAGAGGGCGGGATGAATAGGTGGAACACGGGGGATTTTCAGGGCAGCAAAACTCTTCAGTATGATGCTGTAATAGTGAATACATGACATTATGCATCTGGCAAAACCTAAAGAACTGTACAATACAGAGTGAACCCTAATGTAAACTATGGATTTTAGTTAATAACAATGTATCAGTATTGGTTCATCAACTGTAACAAATGTACCACTCTGGTGGAGGATGTTAATGATAGCATGGATTAGTTTCCTAGAGTTACTGTAACAAAACACCACAAACAACAGTTAATTATGTCTCACAGTTCCAGAGGCTGGAAGTCCAAAATCAAGGTTTCAGCCGGGCCACGCTTCCTCTGAAGACCCCTCTGGCAGCATCAGGCGTCCCTTGGCCTCTGTCTTCTCATGATCTCCCTTCTGTGTGTGTCTGTCTCTGTGCCAAATTTTCCCTTTATATAAGGACACCCTCATATTGGATGAGGGTCCACCCTAATAACCTCATCTTAACTTGACTACATCTTACCTGCCACCTACCCTGTCCCACACAAAAGTGGAAACAGACTAGTTCTCCTTATAAAGTCACAGGAAATATCTGTATAGGGTCACATGCACAGAGAGAAAAAAAAAAAAAAAAACCCAGCCTCATGAATATAAAGCATAATAGTAGATTCTTCGTCGAAAGACACACATCAGAAATTAAACTCAATTTTTGAAGGAAAAGAATCACAAATTAGATTTAACAAATATAAATGTACTTTAAGTCCCAATATAGGGAGGGAGGTAAAGAAGAAAAAAGTGATGAAGAAAAAACAATTTTTTTAAATGGCAGAAGAAATACCAATAATTATTTTACCTGTGAAATGAGGTAAAGAGGGAAAGACAGTCAGGAGGAAAGGGAGAAGGTGAGAGTTTGGGAAGCCCTAAAGTAGTGACAAGATACAGGAGGACATGCCCCTTGTCACATCGTGCTCGTCCCCTGGGCCATGGGCTTTGCAGAATCATCACCAGAAGGAAAAGCAGTGTGTTAAGTGATTTAAAATCTGCAGCACTGACTTGTTCCTTAATTATGTCTGTGCAGATATGCTGTTTTAAGAAAATCCAGTCTGTGAGAACCCATATTGAAAAGACAGATATATCCGTAGGTAATGATTTATCTGCCTTTGCAAAGCTTTTTTCCCCCACACTTCACGAAAGGATTCACATCAGAGTTCTTTCAATCACATAACCTCAATCCCCCCAGCACAAAAATTTAGATTTTCATAAAACTTGTCAAGATTCCCATCTGTCACATCCATCCATCCATACTTCTTTCATGCTACTCTGTGCATTCGTGATGCTCGAGAGCTTCATGGTGCACAGAGTCACCCAGCTTTGACAGTTCATCATGTCATTGGTTGAGAGTTTGTTCTATAACCGATGTTGCTGGAAAGAATTCAGCTCTGACTAGGGGTAGGGGAGGAAATGAAGGATTATTGGTTGGGGACATGGAAGCTGCTGCTCTCAAAAGAGGGAAAGAAATGACTTACACTTCTACCCAGACATGGCTCGCGTACATAAGAACAGGGCCAGAGAAGTGCATGAAAGCTCTGTGACATAAGGGAGTGTGGATGAAGAAAGACCTCCAGCCCATCCTGGTTCGAGACCAGCCAAGAGCCATTTTCACAAACACACACACCTTCTCTCCCCTGCACAACACACACACACACACACACACACCCCAGGAGTCTACCCACGGTGCACAGATGCATGTGCACAGCTCTCTCCCTCAGCTACACCTGCCACACACCCACACAGCACGACCCGGACAGGCACAGGTCTGTAGAGATGCGTGGAACAGCACACGCTGCACTCTCAGAGCCCCACATGCTTACTCAGCAGCACTCACATGACAGATAGTTTGTCCACAGATGGGACAGAAAAAGAGTGCCCGAGTAAGTCATAAAAGGTGAAGAGTAGGAGGAGAGAATGGGTAGGAGAAAAAGAATGTGCGTGGGTAGAGAGCCAGGGATGATGGCCAGCCAAAGTGACCGCACGATGTCAGTCAGTTTCACTTCCCTTTGAGCCTCCAAGACCCTGCCGGCTCTGCAAACCATGTGCATCTCGGGCCTGCGTGGGGTATCGATTCCACCACTCGGTAGCACCTCCTCCAGAGACATAGGCTGAGAGTCACTGCTGCTGCCAAGCAGACAGACGGGCTGCTCGACTTGAAGAGGTAGGAGCAAGCACCAGAGGCTTGGAGGATGCTCTGCAAGCTACTTGGGTAGCTTAAGAAAAGTAAAGTTATTTGCTTACAAATAGAACTCTTTCTCCCATTTCTGTGTGCTGTTGCTGTAGTTATTCAAGAGGGGAGTTATATGCAACAAAAGACCGTGCTGAAGGAAGAAAAGAGAAGCATCTACTTTTTCACCATGCTTACAAATAGAACTCTTTCTCCCATTTCTGTGTGCTGTTGCTGTAGTTATTCAAGAGGGGGGTTATATGCAACAAAAGACCGTGCTGAAGGAAGAAAAGAGAAGCATCTACTTTTTCACCATACCTGAGTACCCGAGTTTTCATTCAACTGCCCACAGGGCTGTCCTCACATCCACCTGCATTGTGGTCAGAGCAGGAGCCCGGCCCAGGGAGGGGGACCCACAGATGGCCTCTTAGAGGACTCTCAAGTCACTTTTTAAAATTCTAATAATTATGGAGAGATCAGATTGGGAAAGGTAGAGAAATTTCTTTATGATTGATAAAATAATAAAAAGAAAAACTGGTTGTTTTCCATCATATCTAGCAAAGTCTTGGGAAGTGCTCTTGACAAGGGTAAGATAGAAAAACAGATTAAAATTTTAAAAACCCCAAATAAACACCAAAATTTGAATTTCTAAAAATTTATAAGCAGTATAAATAATACCATAGAGAAAAAGAAAGGAGAAAAAATTTGAGCACTGTGTAGTTTTGTTTTTGTTGGCTGAGGTTTTATTTTTGTTTTTGTGGGTTTTTTTAGGAGGAAAAAAACCCCTTCAAAATAAAAGAATTTGGCAATGTATTTAAGAAGTTTTCTGAACTTGGCTTTAAAATCTAAGTTTTGTTTTTTGCTCCTTTAAACAAAGATGCCGTCAGGTGATGGCTTTAGGTTTTGTACAGCTCCTTATTTTCTTACGCAGGGCGAACGGCTCGTTTCATGTGCACAGAAAGGGCTGGAAAATATTTTTGTGATCCGAGCGCAGCAGAGAGTCTAAGATTCCAGAGGAAGTGGAGGCCTCCCGCTCCACACAGGAAACAATCTTCAAGCAGGCCTTAAATGCCAGATTCCAGGCCGAGTTTAACTAACCACTGACAGCTCTGTAAACAAAGCAAGGACGAAAAGAGCCCGCTTCCCCTTTTCTGGTAGTCATTTTGGGTTTGGGGGCTGCAGGGGAATTCGGGAATACTTGACTCCATGGCACAGAAACGCAGGGGAAGCAGGCTCCTCATTTGAACAGCTCGAAAGGGAAGATCTTTCCGGAATTAAAACCAACACGGAGGAGGTAGGAAAGGGTAAAATGGTTGGATTACATCTGGAGAAAGAGCCGGGATTTTTGAGCTCCAAAAACAGCTCGATTGCAACTTCACTACTTTTAAAAATGCTGCTTCGTTATGTTTATTCATGGTACTGTTGCTGTGATCTTTATTAAAATCCTGATGCTAACATTCTTTTGGAATATGCAAATTATGCCTAGATACTGTATTATTTTATTTCTCTCTTACTTTCTTCTTAGTTCCTACATATTCCTTTTCTTGCCACTTCTCCCCCCCCCACTCTTCTGTTTTTTTCTTTGTTCACTTTTTTATAACTTTTGTCTGGGGTTCAGCAAGTCACAGAGAACAAAATCATTCAATAGCTCTTGAATGATCCACCAAAATATCTCAAGTCTTCAAAATCTGTCTATCTCCTGAGATCTTTATTATTTTTTTTTTATAAATATAATCCTTGGATCTTACTCGTCTCTAATAGTTTCATGAATAAAACTGAATATAATACAGCTTGGGAGTCAGTTGGTCACTGACCACCTTACCAGCCTTCTAAGGTATTTTTCTTAAGGGTAAAGAAAAAAAGTAGGGCAGGGGGATGGGAGGGATGAAAAATGGGGAGGGGTACAAAAGAGATTCATAACAGGTAATACTCCAATTCATCTATGATACTGACTCTATCTCCTCTCTTTTAGATCCAGACATTATCTGGTCTCCCTAAACCTGAAACCACATCATGGATGACTTTGAACGTCGCAGAGAACTTAGGAGGCAGAAGAGGGAGGAGATGAGGCTCGAAGCAGAAAGGTAAGAATCCAGATTGAGAAATACTTGTATTCCTTTATTAATGATGTTGTTTTCAGGCCTCAGACACCATCCCTCTGCAGGGCCAAATGTACGGTATTGCACACTAAACTGTTTGCAAAAGTAGTTATGAAAAATTTTCCTAACTGTTAAGACTCTGAGTTCTGCATTAAAAAAAAAAAGCACCAAGAAAAATAGATTTGAGGAGCATCAAATAGCTGCCTTTAATCAATGCCTTTCTACTAGAATATTTAAATGACAATGGTGATATGTGAATACAGGTTTAAAAAGCATTTATAATATTGAAATGACAGAAAAGTGCCAAATATTGAATATTGGAACTATTTTGGAAATGAAAGTCTTCAGTTTAAAGAAAGTAAAGGCAAAATGTCTCATCTGAATCTTGTGACAAATTTTTATTCTTTTTAGAAAAGCATCCCAATTCTGTAATCTTCATAGTACAGGTTAATAGCCAGTGGGCTATGTTCCTGTGGTGATCTGGGTCTGGTTGGTAGTTGTTATGTTGTGTGAGGCCTCTGTGGTGGTGACTTTGAGGGCAGTTTGGGAAATTAAGCATTGTTGTATGAAGTATGGGGCATAGATGCATATTTTTAAATTTTAGGCCTTAGAGCAAAGGACAGTGGCATTTAATGTGGCTTAAATCAGATGTTCTTTTGGAAAAGCAGATTAGGCATGATCTTAAAATCAAACAATGATCTTAAAATCAAATGAGTTTTGCCTCCCAGTATTCCCAATGCACAGATGAAAATATGGTGGCAGGTCCACCCTGGTGATCCTACAGTAGAAAACTGGAAACTTACACCTATAACAAAGAGTATTGGGGGCCTTATCTTTACTTATTTGTATGGGGAAGGCAAAAGAAGATGAGATTACTGCCTTTGATTAACTTGGCCAGGGTAGGCTGCCACTCATGGAATGTCCACGCCCTTACATGTGGCAACACACACGGTAGCCACACTCTGTGGGCTCAAATCCTAGCTCTGCCGCTTATGAGCTATGTGGCCATGAGCAAGTGACTTCTCTCTAAGCCACAGTGGCCTTATTCATAAAATAGGCATAATGTCTACATAGCTTGTATGGTTGTTGGGAAGATTATTGAACTTCGTAAACAGCCTAGCCCAGTACCTGGCACATAGTAGGCGTTCCATAAATGACAGCTATTATGATGATTATTAACCATTATCACTAGCTAAACAAGAAAGAAACAACAGCTATATAGCCAGAACTAAACATTAATGCCAAGAGAAGGAAAGACAGTCATCATCCTGCAACGAAACTTGTCAGAAAACGCTTCTTGGAAGCTATGGAGCAAGTCATGATGGGGATGAAGAGTATAAGGGAAGCTGTCTAGGTGAGGGAAAGACACCAGCGCAAGCCCAGAGGTGGAGATAAGAATCCTGGTGCAGGTATTGATATTCAGCTCTGTACCCCACAGATATGTACAATCAACTGTGTTTCAATTAAAAAAAAAAAATGCTGGTGGGGGAAACCTGTTCAGCACTTGAGGGAAAAAGGAGGGACTTGCCTCTTGGGTGTTTCACATAAGAGAAATAGACGGACACTTAATAGAAGAGTTATGTGTGATGTGTCTTGGAGAAAGGTGTCTACAGTGCACTAGAACGTGGGGACCCAGCACCAGAAGAGTTAGTTTTGAACTCAGAGTAATGAGGGCCTGAATCAGGGCAGTAAAAGGGAAATGAAAAAAGATCAGATGTAAGGGTATTTACAGAGGGAGAATTAGCAAACCTTTCAGGAGAGAGAAAAACTCAAAGACAAATGTAAAGAATATAGGTTTGAGGAGGTGGAAGGAAGGTCCCTGAACTGTGCCAAATAGGGAAGGTGGGAAGGGTTCCACTCTTAGGAGGTCACAGGAGCCATGTTTAATTTCAGGTAGAAACCACATCCAAATGGAGATTTCCTCCCAGCACTTGGAGATAGGAGATTTCAATCTTTGTTCAGAAAGGAAGAGAAATTATTATTAAAAAGGTAAATTTGGGCATATTCAGTATTGTGGTGGCAGTACATAAGCTAGAGTGATAGTCCCAGGAAAGCAAATGTAGAAAAAGTGAGAGGTCATGAAGGCATAATGGAAACCATCCCAGGAGATAAGGTATCAGGGAGATGCGGGGCACCAGGGAGAGTGTGGGGCACCAGTGCTGAGGGGCCACCGAAGCCCGGACCCGATGGAGCTCACCACTTCCCAGTGCTGTGTCATTTGGCCTCAGGTTCTCCTGACAGTCTGCGAAAATCTTCACCCAGAAAATACTTATGAAGCACCAACCAGGTTTCAGTGTCTGCACTAGGGATGGGAAAGTAGTGGAGATAAATAAATGGATGTGGTTTCTGCCTTTGGGTACATCACGGCACCCTAGAATGAGGACGTGTGTGATAGGTACCAGGTAGGTCAGTAGCTTCGGCTTCTTTGCTTTCTACGTGAATGGGGGCACAGGGAGTCAATGAAACAGGAATGGCAGAACTCATTTACTGTGGTTACAGCCGTGCTGTGATTAGAGCAAATGAAAAAGGTTTCTTCAGACCCAGGATGTTGCCTAAAAACTGACCACACAGCCACATGATTCATCTCTTCCAGTTTTTTGTTGTGTGTGGAAGGATTTGTCTTCCTTTAATGTCAGTCTAAAAAGGTGTGTAAAGCTTAGTTAGGTACCCTTAATAACCAAAATAGATCTACACAGATTTATCCTAACCTTGTTAAACTTACATTTCTGTCTATATTACTTATTTGGTGATGTTATATTCCAACTGTTTTCTTTTCTTTCTTTTTTTCTTTATTTCTTCCTTTCTAAGAGAGAGAAGTACTTAAGTACTTCTTTATATTTGCACTAAGTTTACTTTTTTGTGATTCTAGGTGAACTTTCTAATTCTGTTTTTCTGGAATTTGGTAAGCAAGTCCTTGTTCACCCTTCAGGATTTTGTAAAATCTGATCATTTATGGGAATAGTGAAGGTCAGGCTTTATGGTCCAGCCAACTTTAATGGGAAAGTGCAGGGTGTGTACAGGAAACAGATGGCCAGAACCAGAAACCAAGCGCCGTCTAAAATCGTGGTTTTGATGTGAAGACAAAGGGCATATGAGACCCTGGGCAAGTCCCTCTTCCTTTAGCTCCAGACCTTGGCTTCCTCCTGTGTAACAGGAGTGGGCGTTTTCTTGGGGGGGATTGGTGGTCATTTTTAGTTTCTCCTGTGCTTTTGATATTTTCTAGTTTTTCTTTTGTACAGTGATCATTCAAAACCAAATAAGCAATAAGACAATTTTCCATTTTGGAAAAAAATAATTGTACAGCCCTATGCATTATACCTGGGCCAGAGAAGATCTAACTTTCCTTTGGATTTAGGGAACTAAAAGAAATAATCCAGATGTGGAGCAGCAGTGGAATAAATTAGTCAAAATAGAGTGGCTCCAAGGCTCAGAGATGCAGATTCATTTATTCATTCTCAACAATTTTAATCAGGCATTCGTTTTGCTCCAGGCTGTGTTGGGTGCTGAGGATAGACCAACAAAATGACAGAATTGGCAAGAGTATACTTAGTGCTTTTCAACCTACATAGAGCCAAGAACTGATCAAGAAACTACTTTTATATCTTNTCTTCCAGTTTTTTGTTGTGTGTGGAAGGATTTGTCTTCCTTTAATGTCAGTCTAAAAAGGCGTGTAAAGCTTAGTTAGGTACCCTTAATAACCAAAATAGATCTACACAGATTTATCCTAACCTTGTTAAACTTACATTTCTGTGATTTATCCTAACCTTGTTAAACTTACATTTCTTATTTGGTGATGTTATATTCCAACTGTTTTCTTTTCTTTCTCTTTTTCTTTATTTCTTCCTTTCTAAGAGAGAGAAGTACTTAAGTACTTCTTTATATTTGCACTAAGTTTACTTTTTTGTGATTCTAGGTGAACTTTCTAATTCTGTTTTTCTGGAATTTGGTAAGCAAGTCCTTGTTCACCCTTCAGGATTTTGTAAAATCTGATCATTTATGGGAATAGTGAAGGTCAGGCTTTATGGTCCAGCCAACTTTAATGGGAAAGTGCAGGGTGTGTACAGGAAACAGATGGCCAGAACCAGAAACCAAGCGCCGTCTAAAATCGTGGTTTTGATGTGAAGACAAAGGGCATATGAGACCCTGGGCAAGTCCCTCTTCCTTTAGCTCCAGACCTTGGCTTCCTCCTGTGTAACAGGAGTGGGCGTTTTCTTGGGGGGGATTGGTGGTCATTTTTAGTTTCTCCTGTGCTTTTGATATTTTCTAGTTTTTCTTTTGTACAGTGATCATTCAAAACCAAATAAGCAATAAGACAATTTTCCATTTTGGAAAAAAATAATTGTACAGCCCTATGCATTATACCTGGGCCAGAGAAGATCTAACTTTCCTTTGGATTTAGGGAACTAAAAGAAATAATCCAGATGTGGAGCAGCAGTGGAATAAATTAGTCAAAATAGAGTGGCTCCAAGGCTCAGAGATGCAGATTCATTTATTCATTCTCAACAATTTTAATCAGGCATTCGTTTTGCTCCAGGCTCTGTGTTGGGTGCTGAGGATAGACCAACAAAATGACAGAATTGGCAAGAGTGAGATGCAGATTCATTTATTCATTCTCAACAATTTTAATCAGGCATTCGTTTTGCTCCAGGCTGTGTTGGGTGCTGAGGATAGACCAACAAAATGACAGAATTGGCAAGAGTATACTTAGTGCTTTTCAACCTACATAGAGCCAAGAACTGATCAAGAAACTACTTTTATATCTTCAAATATACTGTGTACTGTGGTTTTGGTTCATATCTATTAAAGATTATGCCCTTTGTGTACTAAACGCCTGCAGACAGTGTGGAGGATGGGCTACCACAGAAAAGAGAAAGTCCCTTGACTTTCCTTACCCATAAAGACTTTCCACGTAAAAATACCCTGTTATTTTAATTAGTTGTTACTGAGTTTGATTAGCAGGTGCAGTTCCACTTTGCAATGATAAT